AGCTAAGAGGTAAATATAATGTAATTTTAGGCTATAACTAGCTTAAAACACATAACCCTGCAATTAATTAGAGAACTATAACTATAAAAACTTCTAGCAACTATGCACACATAACTTAGTTAGCATGCTATAATAATAGATGCCTAGTTTATAAATAAGCAAAGTAAGGTAGCAGTTACTACTCTAAGAAAAAGAAACTTTAGAGATTCCTTTGCTAAGAGCTAGAAGCTTAGGTAATAAGAATAATAAAAAAAAAGCTTAAGAAAGTCTCTTATAAAATAATTAAAGAAAATAAAAATGTAGAATAAATTAGTGTTATCTAAGTCTAAAAAGAAGGCTACATTCTGCCTAAATATAAAGATTATAAGAATATGTTTAAAACACTAAAGGACCTAGAAAAACTACTACTACACTAGCTCTAGAATTATGCTATTAACTTAATAAAAAATTACAACTTAAAAACACATAGGCTTTGCCCTTTAACTAAGGTACAGAAAGAAGCCTTATAGGAATATGTTAATAAGATGCTAGCATAAAGCTATATCTAAAAAAGCTATAGCCTTATAGCTTTAGCTATAGTCTTTGTAAAAAAGAAAAAAGAAAAGATCTAAGTCTGTTAGAACTATAAGACCCTAAACAACAACATAATTTAAGATTAGTTTCTCTTACTAATTATATAAAACATTATAAATTAACTAAAAGGAACCTAGTACTTTATAAAGTTTAACATACAAGATAGATTTAATAAGATAAGAATAAAAGAAAGAGATAAGTAGCTTACAGCGTTTAAAACTCTATAAAGACTTTATAAACTACTAGTAATGCTGTTTAGCTTAATAAATACCTTAGCAACATTCTAGTAAATTATTAATACTGCTTTTAACTTATACCTTAATGTCTTTACTTTAGTATACTTAGATAACGTCCTTATCTATTTAAAAGATACCCTAGAGGACTACGTACAGAAGGTACAAAAAGTCTTAAAATAGCTTAGGAAGTACAGACTCTACCTACAGCTCTTTAAGTGCAAATTCTATGTTATAAAAACAGAATACTTAGGATTTATAATTAATAAAGAAGAAATAAAGATTAACCTAGCTAAAATATAGAAGGTACTTAAATAGCTAGAACTTATAATAGTTAAGAAAGTAAAAGGATTCTTAGGACTATTAGACTACATAAGACAAATAATTAGAGATTACTTAAAAATTACTATACTATTAATAAACACTATAACTAAGGAATAGGCTATAGTAAAATTTATCTAGACTCTAGAAATAAATAAAGCATTTATAGCTTTAAAACAAGCTATAACAGCTAAACTAGTACTAAGAATGTACAACCTATAGTTAGATACAAAAATCTACACAGACGCATCCCTTAGAGCTAGTGGGGCTGCATTGTACTAAAAATAAGAAGACAGAAAATAGCACCTAGTTGTGTACTACTTAGCTAAGTTCTTAAGACCTAAAGTAGGCTACAGCATACCTAACAAAGAACTAAAAGTAATATTAAATGCTGTAAGAGTATAGGCTATAAAGCTATATAAAATAGTAAAGCTATTTTATATTATAACTAACTATGCAAATTTAGTTATATTTTTAATAGTAAAGAAACTATTACTAATGCACATAAAATAAGTAATAGAACTTACGCAGTTTAACTACATTATTAAGCACATCTTAGAAACCTAGAACTAGCAGGCTAACACCCTTAGCTAAAGACTAGATTACTTTAATAAAGAAAAGAAAAAAACTAAAAAGTTTACTCTCTTTAAGAAAACTAATAAAGGATAAATCTATAATAGGCTTAGACTTATAAAAGAATTCTACATGCTTATAGCTAGTAAGTAAAGATAAAAAAACTTAATTTAAAAGTATTATAAATCTTTAATGTTTAGACATCTAGAAATTAGCACCCTTTAGAAGAAGCTAAGAGCTGCTATATTATAATAAATACTAAAAATAAAGCAACTATGCATAGAAGTACTTAGAGAATGTAATATCTATAATAAAAACAACTTAAAAAGGCATAAGGCCTATAAATACTTTTAACTAATTAAAGCACTAAAGCTACTATAAATAATAATTATAATAGATTTTATTACAGAATTACCCCTATCTAAAGAACTAGGGATAGACAAGATGTGCAACATAATTATAGTAGCCCTAGATAAAACTACTAAGTACTTACACACTTAGCCCTTAAAGAAAACAATAACTGCTAAAAAATTTATTTATAAATTAAAATAAAATGTAATATTAGTATATAAATGCCTTAAAATTATTATCTTTAACTAAGATAAGCTATTTACTAGCAGTTTCTAGAAGGTAGTAATGTAGCACCTTAGAATAGCACATAAGCTATTAATAGCCTACTACTTGTAAACAGATAGACAGACTAAAAGAGTAAATGCAGAAGTAAAGAAATACTTAAGAAAGTACATTTCCTACACTTAAAATAATTAGGCAGAATAGCTTTTAATAGCGCAACTAGCTATTAACAATATAAAATTAGCTATAATAAAAGAGACACTGTATAAAGCTAATTTTAAATATAACTTTTACTTTATATTGCACAGAAATTAACTTATAGACTTATAAGAATTAATAAATTAACTAATAGACTTACGCTAGATACATAAAAAGTTAGCTGTAAAAGCTAGATCTAGTAAAGAGATAATAGAAAAGTATGTAAACAAATTTTAATAACTAGGACTAGAAATCTACTTAGAAGACTATGTGTATTTTAACACTAAGAACCTTAAGATACTTAGACCTTCTAAAAAGTTAGCAGAAAAAAAATAAGACTATATAAAGTTTTTTAAACCTAATAAGACAACTACAAGCTTAAGCTTTCCTTACATATAAAGATACACCTGTAGTTTTATGTCTCTAAGTTAGAAAAAGCACTTAAAGGAATTCCCTTATCTACATAAGAATAGAAAGATAAAAAAACAGAATATAAAGTTAAGCGCATTATTAGTAACTAAAAAAACTAAAAAAAATTCTTAGTAAAATAAAAAAAGTAGCTTACTAGTAAAAACACATAAAAGCTAGCTAAAAATTTAAGGAACACGCAGCTGTTAGTATAAGGGTACTTTTAGGTTTATTTAAAAGAAACTAGCTAAGTAATAAAGCACTTATATTAAAAAGAATAGCTATGTTATTACTAGATAGCAGCAGCCTTTAAAGACAAGTCTTAGCTAATAATAGTTAAAGAGGAGAATAACTCTTTACTTTAGCTTTAAAAGCTTTTATCTTGTCTAAGGAAGAAAAGTCCCCCTCTAAGTATTTTACACAACAAGCCTCTAATAAATCTAGTAATTTTTAGATATAATTCTGCTTAGAACGCTCTCTAGCCTTTACTTTTAGAGTCTTTTAAACTTAACACAACATTTTATTATTAAGCTCCTACTTATAAGCCTTTATAATAAAGGCTTTTTAAAGAAGTGTCTTTTGCTCTTTTTCTAAATAATTCTACGCAGTGTTAGAAATAAAAGTGTTGCACTTACTATACTTTTTTACACACTTAACACAGTTATTTAAGAATAAAGTTAATATATAAAATAACTTTAAAGACTAGTAAGCGCTATAGAGCTTTATCTTTGTCTAGTAAAAAGGATTAAAATAAAGAGTAACATAAAGATAATAAGATAAGCAGGACTAATAAGCTATTTAGTATAAGAAAAATAAATGTTTAGAAGGCCTTCTAGTAGAAGGATATGCACTTTATAAATAAACCTTTACTAACATAGTTGTGTAAGCAGAGCAGTAAAGACGCTGCTAAAAAGGAGGGGCAGTGTGTTACAGTCTATAGTTAGACTAGTGTAACTCTACCTGCAGTGCTCCACAGTCTAGCTAGATTAGGGCAGGGCTTGTTTAGAGACTAATTAGAAAGCACAGAGGCAGCACAGCTGCCTAAGATTATAGAAGAATGCGTTGTCTAATAGGGAGACAGACAGCGTACTAACAGAAGCTTAAAGGAGTTTAAAAAGCCCTCCTTAGCAGGCTCCTACAGGCTCCTCTAACTCCCCTTAGCACCCTAGCATATGTATATAGTTTCTACATTAAACAACCTTTAAAAGGTGTGTTTAATGTTTAGTTTATTCTTTACATAGACTAAGTAGCATTTAGCTTTCTAAAGAGCTGTAATACTATTTATATATCTTACACTATATATACCTCTAACCCTGTCTAAAAGAACTGTTTAACCCTAGCCTCTCTACTGCTGCACATAAGGTAAACTATAATCTAGTCACTCTAAACTATTCTCTATTAGCCTAATAGCCTGTACGTAGGACTGTACACCCTACCGGATTGGCCCCTTCTACCTGTCCTACTTCCCCTAGGAATATTGTAAGACCCGAGTGCTTCCCGAAGCAAGGATTGTAACAAGTATCTAGGATAAAGACAGGTATAACTTTAACAAGTTAAGCTTTATAATAGGCTAGATATTAACTAGAGCAGTTATTACAGCTTTAAAGAGATAAGAACAGCTAAAGGTAATATAGTAAGGTAATAAAAAGTAGACAATAGTTATCTAGGGCATTAACATAACAGGGTAGGCTATAAGATTACAAAGCTTTAAGTAGTAAATAAAGCTGCTATGTAACATAGATTGCATAAAAGAAAGTAGATTTAGGCAGAAAAGACCTTAATAGTTAAGAATAGAGCCTGTTTAACTGCTTTAAAGAAGTTTAGAGCGCGTAGTAATAAGAAGAAGCTAAAGACACAGGTGCGCGCTAAAGGAGGTAAGCTAAGTTAAAAGTAATGCATGCAGTGTAATTAGACTAGGCATAACTTGCATACATGTAAGTAAGTAGCAGAAGTAGACTCTAAATAATATCTTGTGTTGTATTACTTTATATAGGGCTAAAGTGGGCTGTTTTGCGAGAGAATGGGGTGGTTTTAGTGGGGGCTTGGCAAAAGTGGCCGGCCAACCCGTTAGGTACGTTATACACCTCATCACTAATAGAAAACCGAGCAGTATTCAACACTCTTAACTCTATCCCATTGAACATCTTACATACCCTATATAGCTACCATGCGAAAGAAAAAGAAGGGTATTCCGGGACCCAGCCCCAAACCGAAACGCCGCAAACCTAAATCCAAATCCGAATCACCATGATACTAATATCTACATAACAACACACTTATCCCTCTCCTCAGGCACCACACCCTGCGCACCCCCCACACCGGCACTCTGTCTCCTCCCCGGTCGTGGAGGGAGAGGCATCTCCATCCCAATCGGCCGTGAACTCCTTCTCCGTCCCGTTACACCAGGTCCTGGTTGCATAACAGAATTAGCCATATACGCGCTCCCCTGTGGTCTAATCGGAGCCGCTGGATTCGCCGGATGACCCTGAGGGGGGTGGTATTGTGGCGTTGTAGCAGCTTCCTCGTACGTAGGCGGTGGAGCGGGTTCGTTGTTAGGTCGATGCGTTTGGACGTTGTTTCTGCGAGGGGGGATTAGGGGCGGATTTTCGCCTTGGCGAGATGTGCGGCGGTTTGCAGGGCGGGTCTGGGATTGCGTAGCGATGGCTTCTTCTGAGAGTTGATTTTCTCGGCGACGGCGCTCTTCGACTGAGCGGCGATGGCGGTCATCTTCTTCCTCTTGGAGTTGGAGAGCGAGTGCGAGGTCATGGTCCTCTTGTTCTGTTTTGCTCAAATCCGAGTTCGGTGAGAGTGGGGCGGTGTTCTGTGATGGGCTGAGGGCGTTGGAGGGAGGAGCTTGGAGATTTTGCTGGCGAGATGGTACGGTAGTCCAGCCTTGGTCCTCGCTTACATCGAGGAGGCTCTGAACTTGTTGGGTTTGCTGCCTCGGTTGAGGGCTGTGGTTGCCTCCAACAGGGCGGAAGTCGCCAGAGAATAGCTCGCTTCCTTGGCCGTTGACGTCAACGAGAGATTCCCAGACTATTTCATCATGGCTTGAATAGCCCGCATCGGTGACCAAGGTAACGAGATGATCCGTCCTAGGATCTTTGTAGAGGGTCGAGAAATGGTCATTCCGGAATAAGATACCAATTTGCCCAGGCTTCATGCAATCACGCATAGTCTTGAGACCGTAGTCCGTTAGCTGGGTAGGCCACCGATTGAGAAATTCCTTGATAGCATGGATATCTGTGAACATCTGCTGCTCCTCTGAATTCAAGCCCTCAGTTTGCAGCTTCGCATCAAGTTCCTCCTCTTGGAACTGCACATGTTGCGCATCTTCGTATGTTTTCGCTACCCGCTCGAAAGCGATGTAGGCATCGGAGCCAGCGGCAGGGAGCCACCCGTGAATGAGCGGAACGTCGAATGTGCGGTATAGCCGCATTTCCCGTGTATTCTCGAACCCACCGGGCCGAATGGCAAATGTAGGAATGAGCGTTGATGATCCGTCGGTAGCACCAGGATCTTGGACGTACATGGGGTTCACGTTCAACCCGGTGTGTAGGGTGACTAGGAATTTGTATAAATCGCTCACATCGGGTAATTCCTGAGCAGCGCCGCCCCTTCGCCCTGACATTAGTTCATCGAAGACAGCGTCGAGTAACAAGCCAAGGCTGACTTGTTCTCGAGTTCGAAGGGTCTCAACAAGCGCCGTCTCTACTCCAGAAGGCGTAGATAGGACTAGAGCGTTAACTAGCGCCAGGAGAGGACATGGCCCATTAGCGTTTTGGGTGAGAATTGGTGAAGTTCGGATGCCCCGTTTATTAGCATCGTACCACCGGATTTGCTTGATTTGGTAATGTTCTTTTCTTTGCCTGTTCATCACCGTATTAGGGGATTCGACGGTAGGATGCGAAGAGCCACCAACGCCTGTATCGATAGGACGTGGGGGCATTGCTGGAGGATGCTCCTGTTCTTGTGACCGCCTAGGAGGGAGGCCCGGAGCGTGCTCCGCTTCAAAGGGTGATCCTGCCAAGGTGAATTTGGCTGCTTGTTCAATTCGATGGAATTCCTCTTCATGTCTCCGCTCTTGCTCTGCTCGTACTGCAGCTTCGTGGGCGGTAGAAAGCTCAAGTTGCTTTCTCTCCCTTTCGCTCTTTTCCCAAGCTTGCTGTTCTTGCCATGTCCGTGGCGGGGCTTCTTGCGGGTTGGTGTCAGGCAGGCCATATGACCTAGCAGCAGCATCCAAGGAAGAAATATCCATTCCCGACGCCCATACACTTGATGCATTTGAATCCTGCCGGGGGTGAGCGGATTCAGGGGATGCCGATTCCACAGAAATGAGAGGAGGCTGGTTCGGCGACTGGGACCCTTGATATGGAGGGACGTTGCTGTTCAACATCAAAGCCGACATTCCGTTAGTGGGAGTCACGGGCGTGTGCATCGTCGGTAATTCAACAAGCTCGCCGTATTTCTGCGCCTGGGTTGGTGCATCTCCCCAGACTTGCTCGCTGCTCTCACCACCAAAATTACTCTGTCCTGTGGCCTGCATACGGAGATATGGATTGTTCGTCTTCAAAGGGATGGAGCTTCCCGAACTGTTGCTGACTGCGCCGTATGATGACGAGGTCGCACCTGTCGGTTCCGGAGTGATAGCCTCTGCCGTCTTCTTCACTGGTACTCCAGGCGGTGGTGGCGGCGGCGGGCCTGCTCTAAGAGCATCTGGCAAGGCATTATTATTGTTTGTAGCTGGCATGGGCTTTCCACCACCAATCTTCAGCGGATTGGGGACATCTTCCGGCCCGGTGTCCTCGTCGTCGGTCTTGTCCCAATCTTCATCGCTATAGTCGGACTCGTCTTCCTCTTTCTGTTTTTGGGTATCATCGAGGGCCTTGAGGCGGAATGCCGGCGATGTAGCGAGGTCCGGGGAGTAGACCTCTGCCTGGTCGGAGGATGAGGGCAAGGGCGGAGGCAGCTCTGTGGCGGGTGTCGTAGGGTAGGGAGGGTTGTTGACAGCCTGTAAGAGAGGTGCAGGCACGAGATTCGGCTGCGGTGTTTCTTTCCGAAGAACCATGGCGAAGGGTAGTGAATGCAAACTGAGGGGTGGGCGGGGAGGAGTGGTGAATGCTGCAGCACGGCTCAGCTCCGGACACCTAACACGACTCGCTGTCTTGCAAGCTTGTCAGGGGAGTTGGACTGTTGCAGGAAGGCGGGTCGCGGAAATAGAGAGGGTGTCGTTCGGTGAAGTCTGCAGAGCGGGGGTGCATTCGTGCGGCGACAATTACGGACTTGTAGGATTGGGAGTTACGCGGCCTGTCGGTGGTTGGTGGTGAGTGAAGCTGCGATGACGACGAAACCAGCCGGCAACTTCGCACCGCCACACACCACCGCCACGCCGATCTCTGTCGTGAAATTTGCAGAATCTCCCGGCCGTCATCTGTTTGGAAACACGGAAAATCCTTCTCCCTTCGCGTTCTCGCAACCTTCGCCAAATTCAGACCGAGGGGAGATTACTGTGGCTCATGGCCTTGCACATTCACCCCAAGTACTAATCAGAACGGCGCAATGCACTCCCACATACGGCCGCACACCCATGTCGTGCTGCGACTGCCCTCGGGCATCCTGAAGGTGCTGGAGATTAAACCGAATACGTACGTTGAATAGTCGGAGTGAGCACCCGAAGGCCTCCAGTCGCGTAGAACTGGTCAGAGTGAAATATCTGACCTGGAATAGAAATATTAATATTGGCAAATTCGGGACCTTCCCTGCGAACCTATTACTCGGCCGTCCGTATTACCTCACCTTTGAAATACTGGACAAAGAAGACGGCCGCTCGAAGACTGAATTGCGCGTCGTGCCTGCTGCAGAGCTCCACGCGGAGGCATTAGGAAGCGACCATGTGACACCCGCTGAATCGAGAGAGGAGACTGTGGAAGGTGGGGTCGAATTCGATATCGTGCGGGATGATGGGGAAGTCATAATGCGGAGCAACCGCCTGACGCTCGACGATCCATCACGGCAAACGCTATCCATGGAAGAGATCGAGGAGCTCAAGAAAGCTGGAACGACGTCGGGCAAGGAGATCATCGAAAAGATCATGGCGTCGCATTTGGCTATTGACGAGAAGACGTCGTTCTCATTGGCAAAATATACGCTGCGGAAGTCGAGGAAATACTTGAAGAGGTTCACGGTCCTACCGCTGGATATCGGAATGCTCACCGAGTTCATCACAGAGAGGGAGGCTTATAAAATCATGGAGCTAAGAGAAGAATCGTTGGGACTGATAAGCAGCTGGGCAAACATCCACTGTGGGTCGGCAAGCCGAGTTTTAACAGCTAGAGACGGGGTAAGCCAGATAGGAGGGGGAAGGTGGCTTGTTGTGGACGACACTGGAGGTCTGGTCGTTGCAGCATTGGCGGAGAAGATGGGGATACTCTATCCAAACAAGGACGAAGACCAACCGTCCGGAGAGGTTAGTCCTGTCTCGGAAGCTACCCTTTCGAACGGGCCTAAACAGCAGGACGCCACATTAAATGGTGGAGAGAAGGCTCGAGCTGCAGAAACCAGTCAAGGACTCCCGCAAAATGGACTTGATATTGAAATGGCGGACGCAGATGTTCCCGCCTCCGCACCTCAAGAAGCGCAATCCTCAGACCCCACTTCCGACCCCGCGAACTCCCAATCTGCCAATGACCCTCCGTCAACCTCTCCTTCCAAAGAGCCTGCTAACTCAAAAACCCCATCACTTCCCCGCAAACCCCCTCGTCCACACATCCCCCAATCCGCCTTCCCCACCAACACCCTAACTATCATCCATACAAACAGCCAGCCCAACCTCTCCCTCCTAAAATACTTCTCCTTTGACCCCGGCGCCCCCACCCCCTCGCACCCACTCTACCACCACCTCAAATCTGTCTCCTGGCTCCAACTCCTCCACCCTTCCGAAGACCCTTCCTACATTGAACCCGAACCCCTTTCCGAAGAAGTCCTCGCCAGCCTAAAATCTTCGAAGCGGGGGAACTACTACAGAAAGCGGCGACGATGGGAACGCACATCCCGAGTCGTCGACGAGACTCGCAGAGGAGGGTTCGATGGACTAGTCGTGGCCAGTGTGATGGATCCTGCAACTATCCTCAAAGCACTCGTTCCTTTAGTTAGAGGTGCTGGGAGAGTCGTCGTATATAACCCGAACGCTGAGCCGCTTGTCGAACTCTGCGATTTCTATAGCAAGGAACGACGCACTGCTTACATTTCCCGACAGACCGCACATCTGGGTAAGGGAACTGGATTGGGAATTAAGTCCGAAAACGGGGGAAACGGGGAGGATGACGTCGAAGATGCGGACGATTTCCCGGTTAATCCGACGTTGTTGCTAGCACCGACACTGCAGACGGCCAGAGCGAGACATTGGCAGGTATTACCTGGAAGAACACATCCAATGATGACGAGTCGAGGTGGTGCGGAGGGGTATTTGTTTACAGCGACGAGGGTGTTACCGGCTGAAGGGAAGGTGGAGGCGAGGGGGCATGGGAGGGGGAAGAAGAGGAAGGTTGCAGTTGGGCCTGATACCGCGGTGTCGGTATAGTGCCGTACTGATTTTGAGAGATTTGGTGATGTGAGGATGGGTTGGTAGATTTTAAAGTCAAAATATGGCTGACGATACCAATCAGCTTGACTCAAGAATGCCTTACCAGGCTTTCTCTCTGATTTTCTCCCCATCTATCCCACCCCATAGCATGCCATGCACTCTCCTCCTTAATACATTCCGTATATCCCTTTTCACGACATGCCATGGCAGCTTCTCCCCACACAGCGTCGCCGACGCTCACCACTCACAAAGTCTTCCCCATAAACTTCCTCTTCGTAAAGCTCAACCACCACTTACTCGGCACATTCGTCCCATCTGCAAACACCCTATTCAGCAATCTCGTCGCAAGTTCCTGCCGCACTTGCATGAGATACTGCCGCAGCGTCTCCGCTGAATTCCTGTCTGATGGAGCTTCGAAGGCTTGGTTAAGTGGGAATCCGGCGTCGCCTGGGATGGCGAAATTTGTGTCCAAGGCGATGTTCATTACGGCCTAAGTCCGGGAATATTAGCTGGTGTATAGACAATCTCATCTCATCTCATCTTGAAAGTCGGCGGAATTTGCGCCGGCCACGATAGCCCTGATATATTCAAATAATACAGCATCCAAATTAAATTAAACCAGGGGCTCGGAGCAAATATTACCTTCTCTGCTTCCCTTTTTCCCATCCCCGGTTTAATCTTCCCTAACACCTCACTTACGTACAAAATTCCGTAAATCAGCACGCGGTCTGCGGGTCCTTTGATCTCGAAGTTCCGGAAGAAAGTGTTGGCGCGGAACAGCGAGAGGACCTCGTCTAGCGGGTCATAGGATTCGTGCGAGGCATCGATGGTTAGGTCTGTGAGGTTGGCTGGGAGTGGGGGTAGCTGGAGTGCGGGGCCTCGGGTGCGGGTTCGGAGGGGGAGGAGGGCGAAGTTTCCTTTGGGGAATATTAGAGTAGAGTTAAGGGGGGAGGGAGGGGAGGGAGGGAGTGAGAGGGAGTGAGAGTGGAAGGGTGAGAGGTACCAATTAGGTGCTGGTTTGGTTCGTCTAAGAAGACGGAGTGGTAGGCCTGGAAGGAATTTAAGTCAGCTTTGTGATAGCCGTGAAGCTGTCGTAAGCTTCATGGATTTGCACACTTACAGGCATCTTGAATGTCTGCTTGTCTCCGGGCGTTGGGCTATAGAAAGAGAGTACTTGGGTTCTTCGGCGCAGTGATGCGTGTGGCTTGGCAATGTGAAGTGGGTTGGTAGGGCTGAAGCGGGATGTGCTGATGTAATGACGCTTTGCCGTTTTCACTCTCATTAACGCGTCAAAGAGCGAGCGCGGCGCGTCTTCTACCTCAATTGTTCAGCTTCGTGTATTGAACAATTCTCCGTCTATCGTGATACTTCTCGTTTCTAATTCTTGCAATTCCAGGCATATCCTGTGAAATTTTATAGCAAAATGTCTGATTTCGACGATGAGATGGACGTTGATGCGCCTGTTGCCGACACAACCATTAAGTTCGGCGGGGAAACGCAGAAGGGGAAGAGGAGTGCTGCGAATCTGCCTGTCGAGGCAGAAGACTCCCTACCATGGTATGTGCATGTTTGGAGATATGAATAACAAGTTACTTATGTGTACAAAGGGTAGAGAAATATCGACCGAACACTCTTAACGATGTTGCCGGCCACCAGGACATCCTCGCGACCATCAATAAGTTCGTTGATTCAAATGTGTGTTCGACTCCCCAGCATGGAAGCTCTGTACTGACAATACCTAGCGACTACCACACCTCCTTCTCTATGGCCCACCCGGAACTGGCAAAACCTCTACCGTCCTCGCCCTCGCTCGACGAATTTATGGAAACAAGAATATGCGACAGATGGTCTTGGAACTAAACGCTTCAGATGACAGAGGTATCGACGTTGTTAGAGAACAGATCAAGACCTTCAGCAGCACAAAGCAAATCTTTTCTGCTGCACCAAAACCAGGGGAGTCTTCCTCACTTGCTACCTTCAAGCTCATTATCCTCGACGAAGCGGACGCAATGACCGCAACCGCGCAAATGGCGCTTCGACGGATCATGGAGAAATACACCGCAAACACTCGATTCTGCATTATCGCAAACTACACACACAAATTATCACCCGCGCTGCTTTCTCGATGCACTCGGTTCCGGTTTTCTCCTTTGAAGGAAGTTGATATTCGGAGTTTGGTGGACAAGGTTATCGAGGAGGAGAATATCAACATCATCCCAGATGCTACTGCGTCGTTAGTTACACTAAGTAAGGGCGATATGAGGCGAGCATTGAACGTGCTCCAGGCATGTCATGCGTCTAGCACCCCACTCCAACCACCAGGAAAGCCAGCACCGGATCCTAGCACCATCGTTAGGGATCAAATCACCGAGACCACCATCTATGACTGTATCGCAGCGCCGCATCCGTCAGACATCAAGTTCATCCTGGACATGCTCATGAGTACCTCCGATATCACCCAGTGTCTCAAAACAATCAACAATATCAAGTCGCTAAAGGGATTGGCCTTGGCGGATATCCTAACGGCGTTGAGTGAGGAATTGGTGAAAAGCGATGTTCCGAGTCAGACTATGGTAACGTGGATGTCGGGGCTAGCAGATATCGAATACCGGTTGAGTGGTGGCGGGAGTGAGTCGATACAAACGGGAGCTACCATAGGGGTCGTGAGGGCAGGCGTTGAGCTGCTAGCCAAGGGGAAGAACTAAGAAGCGTGAGATGTTCATGTCATGGCGCAATTCGGTAATGTAAGGATTGGGTTGGAAAGAAGCATTTTTGGCTGCATGTTGATATCAATATGGTTTATGCTATCCACTTTTCTAGCGCTAGAAGGGTGTCTTTCCAATTTCTTTAAAAAAAAAAAAATCTTTGACAGCATTTGGGCTAATACTGGTGATTACCAGGATTTCTCTTGTTCTCACTTTGTTGTCAATGTCACTGTCACTCTTGTTCACATGCCTGCTCTCTCACTGCCGTTACCGTGGCGTCCCCCTAGCCTACATAAACAAACGGCTTCCAAATCTTTCACGCCCTTAGTTCTAAATTACCGCAACCTTGCTAACTCTCCAACTCTGCGTATGCCTACCACGACCATGCTTGGAAAGCTCACCAAGAGCCAACTAGTGCCACCAGAGCCTAGTGTAAGTTTTTGCTATGCTTCAATTCAGGGCTGTCTCTAACGTTGTAGACTCCCACGAAGCCTCCACATAAATGGCTGCCAAAAGGCTCTCATAATTCCCGTTCTTGGGATAGAATCTCGGATAGTTCCGGGGACCGCAGTTCAGTTCAGAGACCTGTAAGTTCGGCAACACTATAACGTTCAAGTCTGGTATAAAACTAACATTCAGCAGACCCATGGTCACGGGGAGCCATCATGGGATACTCAGCGTGAAACCACGCCATTCAAGTCAGCCGTTACAACCGACCTGCCCATGAGCGACATGCCACTGAACCCCGGGCTAACTAGTCATTGCGACCCTGGGGTGCGACTATTCTCTACTCTCGACAATAAGTTTGGCAATCTTCCACAAACGCACCAATCCAGCAATGGACGATCGTATAAGAGGCGTTCATCCTTACTTAATCTAGAATATCCTCCGATTGAACCTGCTGAGACTGTCGGATCGCATATACCACTGCTGCCTGCTGTCAAGAACACTCGTATCACGAGTACGCAGCCGTTTGTTGAATACTACGTTCCTAGCGGTATACCGGAGTTGACCTCGGGGGCTGTTAAAGACCCAATGCCGTATCGTCCGCGGCGTTCTTCGGGTCTCAGGATGAGTGTGTATTTTGATGCGGTTGAAGATCAGGATGCTGAGAAGCTCACCACAATTAGGGAAGATGAAGGGATGGAAGTTGGGAGTGTCACAGTTATTGGAAGCCCACAAAAGACCGGAGACACCAGCCCTGCTACTCCGGGAAAAGAGTGTAATGGCATCCAAGGCGGAGAAGACGAAATTAGTGAAGAAGCCTCTCTCGACTGCGACTCAGAAATGACCAACGATTTTGACTACTCATCCGAAGCCGAAAACAGCTCCATAGTCGTCTTCCCCTCTTCCCCTCCCCCCCAACCCAGATCACCTGGAGAACCCAGCCTTCACCCATGTACCCACGCCACTCGAGACGACTCCCTGCGCCTAAAACGCGCCGCAAGAGCCCTCCTCAAGTACGAAGAATCTGAGGGGATATACTCCCATCTTATGAACCGTGTTGAGCGAATGGACTACATGGAAAAGGAGGCCGCGGGCCAAGAGCGTCGTGTCCCTGCAACCTTAGGGCAGTCTGCAGGGAAGCTTCGGTACTTTCTTGGTAGGATTCGGAAAGGGAGGGTTGAGACTGGGGAGCCGATGTTGTTGGTGGAGCATGAGTTGGAGTGGTTGGAGTGGATTGTTGAGGCGATTCATACAGGTGTGATTCATGTTCAGACGAGGAGCTGTGTGTGTAGGGGGAATTGGGGTGGGAGTAGGTGAAGTGGTAGTGATAGATGGATGGGTGCAGGGGGGCTGGTTGGGTGTTTATATGGCTCACGCCTTAAGCAGTTAGGGAATGCTGTTGAGGGGGTTTGTATGCAACCGTGGTAGGCTGTTTGAGAGGACTTTTCTAGAATTTGGACTCGATTAGATACCAACTTTGAATGTCCCCCACCTATTCTTCGTCATCATCGATCGAAAAGATCTTCTTCAGGGCTACCCGCAATATGTCGACCAGTAATGTGACCGAACCCTGCATCCCGCCGATCCTTCCCGCGCTGTACTAGCTAGAAAGACGCGGGCACCACTCTTCCTCACTCAACCCACGGTCAAGCTTTCAAATGTGTCTCCCTCCCACGAATAAAATAATTTTCCTAACGGTCACACCTTAAAAGCAAACGTACCTCGCTTTCAGACGCATTAATCATGACGTCACCATTCTATGCCACTAAACCCAATCCGAACCCCTTTGAAACGGCATTCTTCTCAACAACATGTCCTCAAGATGATGATAGACTTCTAGTGTAGTTCATGACCTCGCCTCAGAATCCATATACGCTAATTACCCACTCGTGCAATCCCAATTGCTTCTTTTGTTTGAACTAATTCATTCAACTTTATTCGTTCAAGATGAATAGAATCTCAGGTAGGTTACTGACGCCTGAAAATACCTTCCGTTCACAAACTAGTATACTAACAAACCCCAGACCTTCTAATGTCTGACGCCCTAATAAACCCTCTACTCGACGGCGGCTACCTCCCGCACCCCCTAATCCGTCTCGGAATTCGGCGTCAACTCGCCGACCGCTTGCAATCTATCTCCTCTACCTCACTGGAAGCAGCCTACGAGTCGAAAATGAAGTATGTCCAACTCTTGCGCACGCGACCCATTGCTGTTGAAACTGCTGCTGCGAACGAACAGCATTATGAAGTAGGAACGGGAGTTTTGCAAGGCTGTCTTGGACCGAGGATGAAGTATTCGAGTTGCTTGTATGAAAAGGGAGGTGAGACGTTGGCACAGGCGGAAGTGGCTATGTTGAGGCTGTATGTGGAGAGGGCAGAGTTGAGGGATGGCATGAAGGTTCTTGATCTTGGGTAAGTTTTCCTACACTTTCTCGTTCATATCACGTGCTCCGTCCATTTACATTGCAAGCTGTGCTAACAAGACTTATAAGTTGCGGCTGGGGTTCCTCTGCTCTCTTTTTCGCTGAACTGTTCCCCCACTCCACCATCACAGCCTTCTCCAACTCCCGCACGCAAAAAGCCTATATCGACTCCGTCGCCCACTCCAAAGGCCTCACCAACCTTACCGTCATCACAGGCAACGTCGTAGACTACGAGTTCCCACTCGCAAGCTTCGACCGTGTAGTCTCCATTGAGCTCTTTGAACACATGAAAAACTACTCTCTCCTCCTCGCCAAAATCTCGCGCGCCCTCATCCCAGGTGGAAAACTCTTCGTGCACATCTTCAACCACAGATCTACGCCATATGATTTCGAGTCTGGGTGGATGACGGAACATTTCTTTACGGGAGGGACGATGCCTTCTGCGGACTTACTGCTGTATTTTCAGGAGGATTTAACGATAGAGAGGCAGTGGTGGGTCAATGGGAAGCATTATGCGAAAACGTGTGAGGATTGGCTGGTGAAGATGATAGGGTGTAAGAAGGAGATTTGGCCGCACTTGGAGGAAACGTATGGAAAGGAGGGAGTAGGGGTTTGGTGGAATCGCTGGCAGATTTTTTATATGGCGTGTGCGGAGTTGTTTGCGTATGAGGGTGGGGATACTTGGGGAGTCAGTCATTATTTGTTTCAGAAGCCAGAATGAGGGCGCAGGCTGCAGATCTGGCGTGTACTGTGTATGTAGCGGGGAGTCAGGACAATAGATATGACGATTTGGGATGAGTCTTGCGTTTGATGTCTTTAAATTCGAGGTCTTGGCGACGCTGAAATGGATGCAAGAGCTCCTTGTTCTTATTGCGGGTCTGGAGTCCTTCCCCTTGGTTATATACATTGACCCCAAGTTTACAGTTCATTGTCGGTATGCCGGTATCTCTCTCCCACTCCAGTAGTTCAATGATCCCACGGGTGCTTCCAGCCGAGGAGGGCCGGTCCATCCTTCTTCGCCCGGTACATCAACTACCTATCGTCAGTACCTATCTGTCCTTCACTTCCAAGCTTGCACGCACGAAGAACCACATGGATGCGCCTAGCGCAGTGGCAGTGAATCGGTACAGCGGTCGCACATATGGTGCTTTGAGAGGGTGGTCGGGCAGAGGTTGGTATTTTGGGGGGCCCATGATGTCGAATTCGAGCCCTGAAGACCATAAGTTACGCTGCACGGCTCCTCTAGTCCAATCCAAATACATACGCGTAGTGTATGAACTCCAATGGCTCGATGGCGGTGGTTGCGGTGACTTGCAGCTCCACTTGGCGTTCGATCAGCGCATTCATGTTCCCAGGCTTAGTCACTAGCGCCGATGTGGCCACCGCGTCTCTGCGTCTACGTTCACCTCTGCCAAGAGGGTAATGAATGTCCTGAATTCTACCCGTCGCTTCCTCTTGTAATGCCGCGATAATAAGACCGGCCATTCACTACCTATGGCACCCTTTGCCTTCCCTGCCCTCCCCTCTCTACGACACCATTTTTCTTTGCGCATCCTCGAGCGCTGATCGCTAAACGCCAGCCAGCGACACTCCGCAAAGCTCCCAGCCGCATTCACCTCCGCGGGTAAACACCATCCCCGTCTAACGGCCACTACCTCGAGCCTGCAATGGCGACCTCCCCGGCGGCAGCTCCGTCCAAGGGCATTACGCGACGCTTCCATGGCTGCTCCAAAATCGGCGATTACAGGATTATGCAGAAGCTTGGTGAGGGTACCTTTGGAGAAGTCCACAAGGCTCAACACAATCGCACCAGTCAGATCGTCGCTTTGAAAAAGATCCTCATGCACAACGAGAAGGATGGGTTTCCAATTACCGCACTCCGCGAGATCAAGCTTCTCAAGATGCTTTCGCATCACAATGTTCTGAAGCTGGAAGAGATGGCTATTGAGCGGCCAAAGGGCGAGGGCAGGAAACGCGCAATTCTGTACATGGTCACACCGTACATGGATCATGACCTCTCGGGTCTCCTTGATAATCCAGACGTCTCTTTCACCGAAGGCCAAATCAAATGCTACATGCTGCAGCTGTTCAAGGGGCTCCGCTATCTGCACGACAACCATATCCTGCATCGAGATATGAAGGCGGCGAATCTTCTCATCAACAACCGAGGTCGACTCCAGATTGCTGATTTTGGTCTTGCACGACACTACGACGAGCCTGTCCCTCAGCGTGGTCGAGGCAATGGCGAAGCCCGACGAGACTACACGACGCTGGTCGTGACCCGCTGGTACCGCCCTCCAGAACTGCTCCTCCAACTCCGACGATATACGCCAGCGATTGACATGTGGGGTGCTGGCTGTGTCTTTGGTGAGATGTTCAAGCGGAAGCCGATCCTCGCAGGTACTAGCGATCTCAACCAGGCTCAAATCATCTTTGAGCTAGTCGGTTCTCCAACCGATGAATCAATGCCCGGATGGAGGCAACTTCCAGGATACGATGGAGTCAAAAACTTTGGCACTTGCCCCGGCAATTTATCGGAGACGTTCCGCGACCTCACCCCGTCGGGTCGATATCTTCTCAAACAGCTTCTAATGCTTGATTGGACGAAGCGCATCAACGCAATTGATGCTATTGACCATCCATACTTCAAAGAAGATCCGAAACCAATGCGCGAGGAGGACATTCCCACATTCCAGGATTCGCACGAGCTCGACCGACGAAATGCCCGAGGCCACAAGCAACCTTTACCCCCTGCTCCGGCTGGCGGCACTGTTGGGATGGGTCCCAGTGATGGATGGACTGGCTCAGGACCGCCACCAACCGGTGGTCCTTGGATGAATGGCGACCGTCCCCGACACGGTCTGCAAGATAGAGGTCCCCCCGGGGCTGGCCCACAGTACCGTGGAGGAGGTTATGACCGCCGAAATGGCCCACCCTATGGTGATCACCGACCACCTCCCCCGCCACCGCCGCCCCGCCATCAGCCACACTGGGGCGGAGGCAGAGAGCACAATAACAGCCAGGGTCCACCATATGAAGCCCCTCCTCGACATGGCACTCTGCCCGCACCACCGGGTGAAGGCCGTCATCCTCTCCCACACCCACCGCGATATGGACCTGGCCAAGAGCGTGCTCCTCGTGGCGGAAATATTGACACATACATACCGAGCTACGGCGACGAGGGGCCGAGACGTGCACCTGCAGCAGATCGCCGCTCACGAGACCCAGATGATCGACCCCGTGATGGTCGACGCGGCTCTCGAGACTCGGGCCATTCTCGAGAGGACAACCGCTCGGACCGCACTAGGAGCTTCAGAGACAGGGACCGGCCGGGCGACACAAGAGACTTCGGACGCGGCGACCGACGAGAACCCCGGAGCCGTTCAAGGAGCCCCGACCGTCGCGAGAGAGACAGGATCCGAGATCGCGAACGCGATCGTGACATCTACAGGCGTTGAAAAGCTGGCATGATATCTTCTTTTTTTACCAAAGATTTCTTGATGTGGCGCACCAGGGCGAAATAACGTCATGACCGAGAAAACAGACTGGTTGGGCTTGTCATCCACATGATGGCGTCAGCAGGAATACGAGAACGGGTGGGGTGGAGTTTTCTGGCGCTGGAAACACATGTGAGCATTTACACGGCGCATGCTAGGGATGGAGCCTTGTGTTCAGAACACATGAGTGACCCGTCTATTTCGAGATGGTGTCGGCTTTAGCGTAAGACTTAGGTATAGCAAATTCTATTGCTTTAATTTTTACAGTGAGAGATACTTCTCAGCGAGTGAAGCTGTCGTAATCCAAAGGTATTGGGCATCCATGCCTCACAGGCGAGTGCATGGAAGGGTCCAGAGCGGTGGATGTTGAGCGCCCCGCAGAAGAGGCCTGACTCGCCAAGACATGCGTGAAAAAAAAGAAAAAAGCGTTCTTCCCGATCCCTGCTGGCGTTTGTTATTATTAAGCCGCTGACTGCGGCATCCATTATTGAGTCAGTTCTCCCCACTACGCCTCGACTTTCACATTCACAGCCCTGCTCGCATTGTACCACGCATTCTTAGCCCAATTGCATACGCAGACGCTCGACATGTCAGTCCCTGTTGTTAACGGATATACACATGAGTCCGAAAGGATAGCGCATACGGAGGAAAAGCATCTTCCCGGTGGCTGGGTGGTACTCAAGTTTGGGGGGACAAGCGTGGGAAAGTTCGCGGAGAATATAGCGCGGATTGTGCAGTAAGCCACCACCGCGACTACGTTCGTGGGGGAAGGCCTACTGATAGTGTGTTTAGGACAGGTCTGAAGGGCAATCGCACCGCTATTGTGTGCTCGGCGAGGAGTAATAATACTAAGCTAGAAGGCACGACCAACAGGTGAGAGAACAACACATCTAAGGTTCTTGAGGCGGCTGCGGGGAGTTACTGACTGGGTTAGGCTTCTTCGCGCTGCGAGGGCGGCTGAGAAGGCGGCATCGAGGGGCTATGACGATATTGTTGAGGCGATTCGACTCGATCATATCAAGTGCGCAAAGGACACGATTCGCTCCTCCCAGATTCTTGCCGCTTACACGGAGGATGTGAACGCTGAGTGCGAGAGCCTTACGAAGATCCTCGAGTCTGCGCAGCATCTAGAGGAGGTTACAAGCCGTGCCGAGGACAAGATTGTAAGCAAAGGAGAGAAGCTGAGCTCCCGGTATATGACTGCCTTGCTGGAGGACTGGGGCGTTGCTGCGCAATATGTGGATTTGTCGGACGTGGTCAAGTCCAACACACCTGCAAAGGGACTGAATGATGCCTTCTACAGGGACTTGGCGGATTCATTGGCGCAAGAGGTGCAGGCTTGTGGAGATAAGGTGCCGGTCATTACTGGCTACTTTGGCAACGTCCCAGGAGGAATCCTGAACAGCATCGGACGTGGATACACCGACCTCTGCGCGGCCTTGGTCGCTGTGGGAATCAAAGCGACTGAGCTCCAGGTCTGGAAAGAGGTGGACGGAATCTTTACTGCTGATCCGCGCAAAGTCCCTACTGCTGCTTTACTCCCTTCTGTCAGCCCTTCGGAGGCTGCTGAATTGACTTTCTATGGCTCCGAGGTCATTCACCCCTTCACCATGGAGCAGGTCATCCGCGCCCGCATCCCAATCCGCATCAAGAACGTCATGAATCCACGTAACAGTGGTACCGTCATCTTCCCTGATCCCGAAGAACAAATCGATCCTAAAGCGCCTCTCAAAGATGCGAGGCTTTTCCGTCCTCGGTCCTCGAGCATTATGTCACAGTTGCAGCGGCCGAAGCGACCAACGGCAGTCACGATCAAGCACAACATTGTGGTCTTGAACGTTCACAGCAACAAGCGCACTCGCGCACACGGCTTTCTCATGAATATTTTCTCCATTCTCGATAAATGGCATCTTTCTGTCGATCTCATTTCTTCATCCGAAGTTCATGTTTCTATGGCTTTGCATTCGGAATCTGCATTCTTGAGTGGGGGTGGAGAGGATGAGTATAGGATTCAGGACGATGACCTCCACGGAGCCATTACGGAGCTCGGCGATCTGGGCACTATTGATATTGTTCCCGACATGGCAATTGTTAGTTTAGTAGGGCGACAACTGAAGAACATGGTTGGTATTAGTGGGAAATTCTTCAGCGTGTTGGGCGAGAACAATATCAACATCGAAATGATATCCCAGGGTAAGCCATTCACCGCCATCATTCCCGTTTGAAGATTCCGTTTGTTGACATCCCGGGCTAGGTGCCAGCGAGATCAACATCTCTTGTGTTATCGAAGAACGCGAGGCCGACCGCGCCTTGAACGTTGTTCATACGAATCTCTTTACATTCTTAGAGTAAGCATATTGCATCAGTGGTGTTGGGGTAGATGGGAATGCATCTAAAATATTCATGCATGGAGAGAGGAGCTGCATCAACATTCTCCAAAGTAAACAATTTTGGAACTCTGAGTTTCTCAGTTCATTGTTTTCATTCTGTTCAGTGACGTCGAAGTCCTGGTCGCGGTGAATGCTTTGTAGCGCATCACACGCCAGCTAACCACCCCCTTAGCCCCCGTTCACCGTTATTCTTGTTGTGCGCAATATTCTAGATTCTCGTGATCTGCCTTTAACCTTGCCCTCTATCGTCTTTTCTTCATAACACGATAGTATGGCACAGCCGGTTGAATTCTTACCCCCCTCGGTCAGCGCGGTCAAACAACTTCCGCCCGCAGAGAAAGTAGGTAAGTAGCATCCACATTATCCAGACTGACGGTGGGTCCATAGTGCTAATAGTATTGCAGCTGCGGAGGAGGAAGCGGAGAAGATTTCGGCCGTGTTAGCAGGACAAAATTTTATCGATAGGAAAACATGGCTGCGCTGGCTTCGTACCGAAGATTCATTGCGCGGTCATGTAGAAGAGAAGAAGGTTGAGTCAGGGTAAGTTCGAGCTAATATCAAGTCTGCAATTGCCCGTTTCGTCGAGGCCGCTGCTTCCCCATGGACGAGCATCCCCGGACGTCGCCACGCGCAACACGCCATGCTTCGATATTTTCCATTGCTAACGTGGAAATAGAAAGGAACCCCATCTGCAACCTATACCAGTCTTATCTAGTACCGGCGGCGGCGGCTCTGCCGATATGAACTGGCCGGATCCCAATTCGCCGGTGAAGCTACACTTCGCTCAAACCGCACCGTTTAAACGCCCAGCATACTCTCGCCGACCGACGCTGAAATCTATAGTCTCGGCGCCTCCTGTCTTGCCTTCATCAACTCCGACTGCATTGCCTGCGACTCCCTCCACACAAACATGTCCCCTTGCCGCTCACCGCCCATATCTGCCTTCACAGCCCACATATCATCGACGGCCAACACTGCGAGATATCGTCTTCAACTCCACACCGCCATCATCGCCGCTACCGAACCAGGAATCACTGCCCCTCCCCCCTCTTCCACCACACCCACCTGTCGCACCGCGGAACTTTTCACGAGAGACTGGCGCTAGCTCCACGTCTTCGAGCCTGAGTCGAGGTACGTCAAATGGTAAGAGCTCAACCCAACTTGCATCAGCAGCCTTTTACTTTTTAACTGGACCGCTTCCACTCTTTTGGCAACTTTGCTAGCGGCTTTCGTCCCTCGGATCTACTTTGTTAACGAATTAGACTATGTCTTCTTGACAAGACCTCAAGGCAATGCCTTCGCGAGCCCGGAGTTTTGGGAATCTTTGGGTCGGCCTGCTCCGAGATGGGAGAGAGGAGAGGAAGCGGATAAGGTAACTGAAAAAGAGGACCCGGAAAAAGAGAATGTGGAAAGCAGGGAGCTGGAAAAGGGGGACACTTACACTATCGTCGCAGAGGGGGGTGACGAGTCCACTCAAACTGATACGTTGGTGGTGAACAACGCCTTTTCAGCTCCCGGGTTCTGGAGCGCTTTGGGTCGCACAGGTGGTAACTTGGACGGACGACATCCCTTCCCCAACTTCGACATTCCAAACGATCCTGCCACTAGAGAAGCGTATGAATCTGTGCGCGGTTTTCTTATCGCATATTGGGTTGCCGGAGAGGCTAAGGAAGATGGCTCAAAGTTCCTCCCGGAATCGAACGCCAACTCACTGGTAATGGAGGGAGAGAGTCGTTTGCCAGCGAGATCACAGTCGGGTATGAAAGACTCGAAGGAGTCGGCGATGAGGAGGCGCTTTGGGGAGCAAAGAAGTGTGACTTCGACGAGCTCGATCCCCGAGGACGAGGCAGAGTCACCTAAACGGCCTGCTCAGATTTCTGCTCTGCCAAGGCCGGTGACGAGTAGGAAGAAACTAAAGACACCGAAAGATGATTGGAGACCACCTGTGCTAGACAAGTCGTACCTGCGAACGTTGAAGGTCACCGAGCAAGTTGTGAAAGATATGCATGATTGTTTTGGCTCGTTGGCATTCCCGAAACTGTCGAAGTACATCAAAACGAAGCCGGCAATAGTGGCAGCTCAACTAGAAGAATGCGACAAAGCGGATGCGGAGTTCACGAAACAGTATGCTATCAAGACCCTTGCGGATCTGGAGAATCCAGCCTCGTGGAAATTCATGTTCGACCCCAGCGATCCTACAGATCTGATGCACTTGGAGGACTCGAAGAAGTACGAGTTCGAGACATCTCTTGACCGTCACCGCCATGCATTGACTATGCTGCATACACGACAAAAGAATGAAGAGCTTCGGGTTCCAGAGACCGGGTATGGGATCGTCTGGGTAACGAGGTTCCTAGACTGGGCGAAGGAGCGATATGATCGCCAGCTCACCCTACACGAAGACGGTGTGATAAAAGCCACTGAGCAGCGGGAGCTCCAACAACTCCACGAGGCTATGGACTTGCAGTCAGATATCGACTCTGACAATAATGGCCAGAGCGAGTGTAGTGATGAAGGCTACACCTACAACGCCATCTTATCTAGCATTGAGAAGGAATTAGATCAATGCAAGATTTGCAGCCGCTCAGACAGCCCCACCCTTCCAATCGACACAGCCACCCTCCCGCCCCTTCACGACTGCGACCACAGCCGCGAAGAAACTCCCGCGGAAGCTCGAGCGAGGCGTCGAGCAACGCAATTTAACATGGGTTTCAAGTCACCGGCTACTCCCGCCCACGAAATGGAAATGGAGACTATAGAAACGTCCACGAGGCGGGTGTCCGCGGCAGAAGAAGATGCGCTGAGCTGGGAAGAAATGCTAGCCGAAGCCCTGTGTAAAGAGAAAGAAAGGCAGACAAAGGAGGCGGAGATGAAGGGCAGAAAACACTCATCGCAGAAATCGGTGCTGAGGAGGGATCCTGCATTTGAGTTTTGGGGAGATGAGTGGAGTCCGCGGAAGAGGCATTTTGAGGCAAGGGAGGGGGTGGTGGAGCGTGTGGAGCGTGTGGAGCGTGAGGCGGATGCGGAGTGGGATGAGGCGGGTGTTGGGGACTATTATTCTCCGAAACGTAGGGGGAGAAATAGTTTGCAGAGTGAGGCTTCGATGGGGGATGATTTAGCTGTTAAGGGGGGGAAGGAGTTAAATGGGGGGTTGAAGGTGCGGGAGGGTGAGGTAGATATAGAGGAATAGGCAGGTTAGTATACTTCTCTCTCCTTTTTTTCAAACTTGGGGATCAAATCTGGCATAGCGCGGAGCTTCTGTCTGTATTGGTGCTATCATGATGAGACGGGCATGATAATAGCATTGTGGTGTTAGATGGATATTTTCAAGGGATATGAATGGGTATCCCCGGCATTTGTTCGGATTCAACGGACGACCAATAGAAAGTACAGTTGCACTCTAAAATACTGCATCCTAACAGTGATGGCAGAATATAACAAGGACCTCTTGGATTCTAGCACAAAAAATTGAGGAGATTAACTCCCCCATGCCGTGCCAGGTGGAGTTAATTTGTAAGTGTCATATGCGGATGAAACCAATGACGTAATGTTCACATGACGTCGCGCCTCCGCGCTGCGGCAGGTGCCGTGGAGCTCCAGGCCTGCCTAGATTGCTTTCAGAAAAAGCACATGCATGTAGCACTCACATTCCTCCACGACAACCCATCACCACCCTTCATCTCCTTTGCTAAAAAAAAATGGCGGGGCCGTTTGCGTCTTTCCTCCCACTTACAAACCCTCGTGCTAACAACGCGAGGCCGCGTGGGAAGAAACACGAACCGTCTCCTCCGACGCCACCCGGCCCTAAACACGAGTGCCAGAGTGCTCCGAGCTCTCTCGTGGAGGTGGAGATGAAAGATACTGGTAAGTTCGCCTCTGGAGGCTTTACACTGTCTATTGTTTGAGACTGATCTGCGATGCTTAGAAGACGAATGGTACAGTTGCTCCTCTTCGGAGGGCAGTTTTAGTCCAGTCAAGAAGACGAAGAGCGCCGACCATAGTAATAGCCTTCTTACTGTCATCCCAACGACTCCGGACGCTGGGGCTGAGCTGCTGAAACACAGTACGCATTCTGTGCCTGCCTATTTGCGTGCAAACACTTCCGCTTACCTTTTCAGTGCCGGCCTTGTTCGGTAAAGACCTCCCGCCCTGTGGTCTTGATCTCCAAGTTGCGTACGAGAATATCAATCTCCGGCTTCGCAAGCGCTGGCTCCAGAATCACGGCTATGTCAACGTCGTCGACACCTGCCGCTCCATCAAGAGTGAGCTTGACCGAGACCAGAGAATATGGCCGCCGACGCAAAATCACTCATTCACGAAGAAGCGTCGACCTTGGCGCCGTGAGAACGTCTTCAAGCGTGAGCTACAGTGGATTAAGTACTTCCTCCGCGAGGCCCAAGCGCAGTCCCCAGAGCTCATGACCGAATCCGAGATCCTGAATTTGTCCAAAGAGTCTCCGGTGCCTCTTGAGTTAGGCCTTAGTGTCTCTAGGTCGGATGTGTTGAAGTTGTGGAATGAATGGAATCGATTGAAGAGGATGCCGACTCCTGCTATGCTGGATGTTGAGACAGGTATGGGGCTAGACGGGCTGATGTTAAATGGTCGTGTCAATGGGGAGGCTAACGGCAGTGATGAAGTTTCCAAGGTGTCCACGGATTCGCCGTCCATGACCGCTGTTAGCACGACTGATAGTGCGGCGAATGGCGATGCACAGGTCTGGTCTAGTGGTGGCCATTCTTGAACAAAAAGATGTTCCCCTTAGCGTGGGTACGAAGTTATGATTCTTTGGCGCATGGAAAAGATATACGGTTTCTGGAAGTTCTGGGATGGACAAAATTGTACTTTCGGAACGCTATGCTATGCAACGTGTGTGTGTGGCAATGGCGGGTTGGCTTTGTAAGCATTGGCGGGTGGGTTACCGTTATGGGCTCGGCCAGGAGTAAGGAGGACATCCGTATCTAAGTTTATGATACCCAAAATGCGGGATGGGTTTATGATGCTCGATTACCTGTCTTTTCCCACTAGTTTATATATTCATGCATTCTTTAGATGGGCCTTGAGCACTCTTTGAGAGTTGGGGCAGAAACTTGCGGACTTCACTACTCCTTTACCGTGACCGAGTAGCTAATCTTGGAGTTGGGTGGTGATAGTAGGTGGTTGATTTGGCTGTCAAACTTACTACAGAGAGTGATGGAAGAGGTGCCTCAGTTGTAAGTTTGGCTATTGAAGGGATATGCACTACCTAATATCTCAATATCACCCCGCCATCAGCACTGCTTTCCATCCGTGCCGAAATAAATGCTCTTGGATGGTACCCAGTTGCTATCCAACGAGGGCTTAATAGTTATCAGGCATGATTGATAAATGAGGATGTATCTCGATGTCCTCACTTGGCATCTGCCTTCTCTCCATTCTGATCCCGACCAGCATGCTGGTCCTCCTCCGCCTATCCAAATTCCTTTTTGGTGCGCCCGGGAGAGTCCTAACGATACTCTTCACTTATGTTTAGCTCTTCATCTCTCTTCACTTTCTTGCTAGCAAAGCAGCTCAAGTACGCTCCGTCCTCCTTTCCAACCCCAACTTGCGGTGAATGATAGATACATCCTCATCTTTTTTTCACTCTTTCTCCCTCTTCCTGTTCTTCACCTTGCACCCCATCTCTTATTAGTTCATACTAATACGCTAATTTTCTTGACTATACCCGTATCACATCGCCAACCCGCCTTCACCTGCACCTCGACTCACGTCCCCAAACCTATAAATCCCGGTTATTCCCACCTCTTCCCAACCTTCACGCTTTCTTCCCATCATATCCCATCTCTTGCTACCTCTTTTCCTTGACAACACACATAGTCTCTCTGCAGCGTTCTACATCTTCTCAAGCATCACGTTCTCGCTCATCGCCTCTCGTCGTCGCCGCCGTGACGTCCACAGCTTCACCAAGTAGGCTACAAAATTCCTAATGTTAGTGTCACAACTGCTCATAATACGCCAGAACTGCTACAACCCCATTGCAAAAACGCTGCTAAAATGGTCAACTGGACTGCCGACAAAGACGCTATCGTAAGCTCATCATCCTCCACCAACATATCAACCCTTTTTTAACAAACGCAACTGTAGCTCCTGGTCGGCATCTTTGAATTCGTTGACATTAAATTCTCCAAAGACCTCTTGGAGCATTTGGCCAACAAAATCGGTGAAGGTACATATTTTTACACATCGATTTAAGGTTATGTGTACTCAAGCTCGCTAGGATGCACTCCCAAGGCCGTCAACCATCGTCTCTTCAATATGAAGGTCAAAGGCAAGGCTGCCGGCGGCTCTGCTGCCAATACTCCGACTAAGGCCAAGCCTGCTACGCCAAAGACCAGTGGAAAGGGTAAGGGTCGCGGAAAGGCTGCTCCCGCGTTCGATGGCGATGCCAACAATCCTATGGATCATGATGAGCACATTATTCCGCCCACCCCAACCAAGAAGCGCGGACGTCCGAAGGAGACTAACGCGGAATCTCCGGCTAAAAAGAAGATCAAAGCAGAGGAGAATGACGAGATGGGCAGTATTTTTGGAGGCAGCAATGCGTATAGTGTTGTAAACTCTCAAGAAGAGATGGGCGAGGCTAGGTTTGGTGGGAATGGTGAGGAGGTAGGCGATGTCAATGAGATCTGAGGGTTTCATCTGGCAAAGCTTAGCGTATAGCGTGGCATTTTCCCTCCCTTCTTGCCCTAACTTTTTTCTTCTTTTCAACTCTCTTGCCAAGAGGGTTTTCAAGCCAAGAGACAGTACAACCCCTCCTACACCCTCCTACCTATGTGTATTTATACCCTTCCTTTCCCCGGCCCTTCACAAGTGCACACATCCAAGGCGACACGTACCCACAGCTACTTGCCCCTCTGCCCTCCCCCAGTATAGTGAGACGGAATCATAGCATCTCATTCCCTTCTCAAGCTGTCTAGTCCTTGGATTTAGTTTCGGTATTTTCGAGGCGGGGTGCTTTGCGCATAGCATTGCCAGCGGTGTCGGTATTGGAGCTATGGATGGAATGGGACATGAATGAACGGATTAAATAATCGAAGTAAATTAATGAACTGAGAGGTGTTATGAAAGTTAGGATAGAGTGATGCCGTGGGTTGGTGAAAGGTGAGTGATGAGCCGAGAGCGGGCGTTGAAAGCGTGTATAGTATTGCACACTTAGGTGGATGGTTAGGGTGAAGGGGATTAGATGAGCGCTTTGCTGGGATTTGTGGGGGCTGGGAAGGAAATGTTAAGTTGTGCTATAATTCCCGGTTCTTGTTGTGAGGGTTTGGAAGCAGTAATGTGGTAGATAAGTGGAGGAATTAGGTTAATGGTTGTGTAGGGTAGAGGGGATGCGTGATTTTGTGTTTGAGGAATTGCGTTTGAGACAATGACGGAATGTAAGCGAACGAACTTTTGCCTGTAACTCCAGAGTGGGAAGACTACGCAAGGCTGACATTGTGGGGAACCGACTGCTGCCTAGGCCGTATTTAAAGGCCTCTCCTGCGCTAGAGATTGCAGTGCATTCAACGCGGGATAGGTCAGAATTGGAACTCCTACAGAGTCTGGCCAGATCCAGCGCAACCACGCTATATACGCTCGGGCCATCAACCCCGACCTCAGGATGCCAAGCCTGTTCGTCTACCAGCTGA